ATTTCCTTAATTATTAGCCCTAACTATATACAGTTGGACAATCCATTGTCAATCAGTTTCCATGAAAGACAACATACTTTATGTACTAGTGTTTCCCCAAAAATTCCCTAGTGGGCTTGCACGTGGAAATCTGAATGCAGACGTACCACTTACTTTATTGAAAGTAAGAAATGAGAACTTTTCTAACAACCTTCTCTTTCCTCACAGTTGACCTCTTTACTGATGGCAGGAAGAACGTTGAATTAAAATCGAAATATGTGCCAACAAACGATTGCAAGAGGGAGGGATACCTTCTTACAAAATGGGTTACAAAGTTTGCCTTGAACAACTCCAAGGACTTAAACACTACCGTGACTTAAAATTAACAAATTCTAATTAAACAAAATAGCATGCAATTTAAAGTAAATTTACGAAAAAAAACTGTACCCAAATTAAATTAAATGTGTTCATTATTAAATTAAAATGATATCTACTGACAGATCTAGAAATTAAACTACTGCAGAATTAGAGAATTAACCCTAATTAACATTAAAATTAAACATGAACAGTGAATAAATTAACATGCTTGAAATTAAGAGGAAGCATGAACCCAATGTAAGTAATCATTGAAGAAATGCTATTTATCATAAACATTAAATTAATTACAGATAGAAAAAGAACAGTACCTTGAACAAACTTGAAAGATTGAAGTTCATTGTATGAAACAAAATTGTTGAAGCGAATACATGAATTAGTCTATCTATTGGAATGATGAAAAACAACCTAAATCTATTGGAAATTGTGTTGAAATCTGAAATCTGGAAGCAATTGCAAAGAAAATATCGTATGAAAATTTGCAGATGTTTTAGTAGGGCAGGCCGTGTCTTCTCTCTTCCAAAATTTTTCCTTTTTGTTTTCCTTTTTGTTTTCCTTTTGCTGATTGTAACCTCCACTTTTTGCAGTTACAACATTGTAGGTGGTTTCCTAAAGTAATGGGACAACTTAACAATTGATCTGATCAGAACTCCCTTTAGATTTTCACCACTTGTACTCTTATTAAATAAAACCCTTTTTTAATTGCAATCTTCTCTTATATTTTAGCTCAAACAGTCCTTTTTTGCCTCAAAGAGATAATTAAAAAATAAAATCTCATCTTTTTCTCCCATTTTTGTCAAAATGACAATTGATTCGTCATAAAACCCACAATAATAGATCTGACATAGCTTAATCTCCTCTATCCATTTAAAAAAATTTACACGTGGCATTATCTTGAAATTTTGCAATTTATGGTGGAAACAACTAGTTAACCAAAAAAAAAAATAATAATAGACTTGAACCCTCTACCAAACAAGCTCTCATTCCTTAATCCTTAACTGCTATTTTCAAATTTTAGTATCTAAATTTTTAAAACATTAAATTTCATACTCTAATCATTGAATCATAACTTTAGAAAAATGAAAATGATGGAAGAACACAAAAAAAGAAATGATAAGTATTATTAACACTCTCTTTTGTACTACCACCATTTCGACACTCTCTATATACAATTAAGATTAGTTTGGGTACCTAGTAAATATTTCTATATCATTAGACATGTAATATGTTAAATTATCTATATAACATTGAGATTGTTGATGGTTAAATTTAAAAATAAACCATAAGTGTGGATCTTGACTTATAACCAAGTTAAAATAAAAGATAAATCTCAATTTTGAGTTAAAAAAATGTTGTGTAATTAATTTAAACTATTAAATAGGTTAAATTCTCTTATATTAAAGGTTGCTTCTCTTCTATACTAATTTTTTAAATGTAATTAAAATTAAAAATTAATGACATGATATAAGTTAC